CCCCCCGCCTTTGCGGCGGCGGTCTTCCTAGGCATACGTGACACTGCTGGGGGACCGTTCGCATCACGATAGCCTGGTCTGGTAGGAGGCTGCAGCCCACGTCCCGAGGCGAAGAGAACCAGAATTATCAGCCAGTAAGCAGCATAAGGGCCAGTGTCCGGACGTACATCGTAGCACACTCCCTCTCGCAATCATGCACAGCTGGGTTGTGGAGGCTGCTCAGCCGGCACGTTCGTCCGTTGCAATCAATCTTGGGATCAGCACGCAGGCGATTTGCGTCATCCAGCGGTCTGCATGTGGACAAGTGATAATGCGAACACTCACATAGTGCCGTTGATCCATATGCTGATGTCTGCATCCAAACTCGATGTAGGTGATAAGGTGGTAGCACATATTGCGATTGGGGGCGAGGCGGGAGAAGAAACTAACGGTAGGCGCACCTCAAATAGTGCGGCCGTTTTAAATCTCGAAATCTCGCCCTGAACCATGGCATCAGTAGGAGGGCCGACGGCGTCAATCATCGTCCGCTAGAGACAACATGAGCCTTACATTCATAATCCAACAATGGTGTCCGCGCTCACCACACTACCCACGTACATTCAAAAGGGGACATGCGCTCCAAATCCCATCCTCCACAATGCTAAGATAACAGCTCTGCGGTATTCTTCGAACGCTAGGCGGTAGAATTGAGGATATAAGTGCGCGTTGACCCCATGCACCGGCTAGCTGCAAGTGTCGATTGCCTGCGGTCCACGGGTTCAAGTTCACAGGGAATTGCAAGTGTCCCACTGAGTTCGATGACGCAGGATGACTTGAGATTTGTCTCGTGGTCCAAATCACCTGGTATGGGCGTAGCTCGTCGCAATTATCGGCCTCTGAACATTTCTGTGTTGATCATGTCATTCGGATCCCGGCAACGGATATACGAGAGCGGAATCAGGTGTGGTTGACCGCTTCCAATGCTCGAACATGTCAAACAATCCTGGACCATCAGTCACTCCAGGGCCATGATTCTGCCGTATACAGCAGACGAAATTGCCCGTCCAATAAATACCGAGGGCAGTTGCGGAAGCTCGACTTGTCGTCGGGGCCGGAATGGCATTGAATGGACAGCAGTTACATTTTTATGTTTTGAGCAACCTCAATAGATATCCAGACGACCATCGTTTACCGTCTTGAACCCCAGAACAGCGCGACCTGTCGTTGAGACCGTAAGGAGTGGATGTAGTTTGGAGAATGGCGCGCTTTGTTTTGGTGGCAAAAAGCCAAGGATGAGTCATATCCAGCCGCGACGTGTCGGTATAGATATTGTGAATGCTAATCGTTCAAAAATGAATGGAAATAGGTCGAGCACAGCGGTTGAGAGAGCAAGCGACCCCACACGGGCGCTTGTACTCGTTTCCACCTTGATTCCTTGAACGACATTCTGGGCCCCCGAACCATCGTTACCCCACCGCCTACTCCACTCGAGCTATGGTCGACCGGGTCGACGTCTTCAGGGGAATATAAGGATGGATCGTATTGGCTACCCGGAGCCACGCTGGGCAAAGTGGATCTGACCTCGTCGTGCAATGGCATCGAAGCTCGACATAACCTTCTCCATGAACCTGGCCAGACGGCTCACAATTTTTACCAGGCACAATATTGACGTGTCGCATGGATCATAACATCTCCACTGGTAACAGCTTGACGGAGTTCACTTCCCGTAGACCATCCGCTCAAAATAGGGTATCACAGCGAGGTGAGTCTTTGTGCGGCCATCTAAGCCCAAGTTGCTCGTCGGAAACCTCCATGCAGGCTAAATCCAAGAATTGTAGGACAACTTTACTTGAATGCCTACTTCTCCTGGACAAACATCAGGAGGCGCCTGCCCAGTACCACAGTGCAGGTACCTTCACCACCGCCCATGGAGTGTCAGGAATGTGCTCAGGAATAAGTAAGCATTCCAATCACACAATCCTTCGCCGCTCACAGATGGCCCCTGGGGATGGTTACATAGCCTATAAAAGATTCGACCAACCGCATAGCCGATCACAGTCCAAAATCTATAATCCCCTCTGCTTTCCAACACAATTTCGATCTTGTGACAGCTTTGCTTCTAGTGTAAGGCGGCTATTAAGGGGATTCCCATGAAGTACGCACCTCATTTGACACCGTTACTCCACACTCACTGGTCATTTCAGTGACCATTTGAACGATGTCAAGCCCCACGACGTACCGTGCGATATAGGGGGCATAAGGCGAGCAGCGATTAATCAGAGCGGGTACGTCGACAATGGCGGTGTATATCGTGATCACCGAGCGCGTTCCACTGCCAACGTCTGTGGCTGCGTGAGTAGCGAATCCGATCAGTCCGCCATGGTCCGGGAATCGGTGTCGCACAAATTGAACCATGTTCTGACCAGGCGCCAGCACAGCAACGCCCGCAGCCACGACGAGTAACTGTGTCTCTGGTTTATAGACTATTCCTTTGGAATTGCTGTGTTAACTCACCCGTCTTATTGTCTGGCAAGATGCGAGACAACAACGTCACATCGCCATGCCCTCTCTTGACCTGCAACTTTTGTTCCTCCTGCACATATTGATTCCACCGGATTGGGATTCACAATATACTACGTTGATTCATGACCCGGCAAGAAAACACGGCACTCGTGAACTCGCGAGATCCCTCCAGCGTCATTTTCGAGATTGCTGAGTTGACTGCGAGTCGATTGTCAGGCGGGAGAAAAAGGGACCACAGTGTGCGGGAGTACAGCCCAGAATTGCCAGTCGAGAGCTGCGGAAAATCGATCCATGCTCAGAGAGTGGTAGTTTATCCAGCGCAAGGGAGCGCCCTGTCGTTTCCGTATGTGACTTATGCTGTGACGCGTTGGCTCCAAATGATATCTAAGCGTCCCTTTAGGATCTAGTGACGAGTAATCGTTGAGCATGCGCAGTCCCGTGGTGCGCAAAATATTCAGTTTCTGGACCATATATTGTAGCATGGCGGTTGTACGTGGGCGAGTTGCTTTGCGACCGTGAGCTCCTACGGCAAAAGCTCGTGCTCTAGTTTTGCAGCCGTTCACAATTGGATGGCGAGAGCTCTCTTTGGAAGGACTACTAACAGGCGAGGGCGATGTGTCCCTCTGATTGTTGTGGCAGTCGTATTTGTGTATAATGGCGCCACGGTGCGCCAGTTGTAGTGGCATGTGAACGTTTGACCCGTAATACTGTCGTCTTAAATAGACGCCACCAGATTTCTAACCAGTACGTCTATATCGTTATCTATACAATGTGCGGCGAGTAACTGCGTGTTAGCGTCCTTCAAGTCTACAGCATACGTCAAGAGCAACATCTTGCCAAGTATCAGAAATGGTCATTTTCGCCGGTCGCAAGTGCTGGCAAAAAAAAACCAGGCTCAAAAGGAGTGCGCAAGAGGAACGTTGACAATTACGGCAGTAAGTTTTCCTCCTCGTTCGTCCGTAGTTGAGTCGTGATTTATGCGTGCGTGCTTTCCTTCACTCCTTATTCAAGAGTGTACTCGCACAAAATTTTCATAGCATGCAAAATGACCCGTCAAACCGGTATCAATTTTGTGGTGCACCCGACATATCTCGCCAGGGACTCCTGGTCAGAAGGTCGGCTAAGTCGATCCAAGACGGTCAGTTTCAATTGAGACCACCTCGTGCGTGGCAGCTGCCTGCGTGGTTCCTCGCCCTTCCTGACAGATAATTGCCATGCATTCATTGGTCAATACCACTCCTCGGGTCCACTAACTATATTGGTTGGCATCCTAATGTCAGTCCTTCCCCTCGATTAGACCCCACCGCATGACATCGCTACAAATGGCTTTCCGCGAGAGGGACACAGGCTTCACGTCTGGATAGTGGTCGCTCTCTCACCGCTACTCAAATCGGGAGCCGAGGTCGTCATCGGATAAACCTGACCTTCCTCGACCCGCTATTCTCCATCTGGAATCTGATATCTGAGGCCTATTCAATCCTGGTTCAGACCTTACCTGATTCGAAGGACAGCCTGCGAAAGAGCCGAGAGCGAGAAGCGCCAGGCAGCCTTGTCAGCAGTACTTTCATGATGGGCCCGCCCACCACGTAATGGCGCAGACTCGCGGAGTGTGCCACATAATTGTCAGGCCAGTCTCTTGGTGGTCCCTGTTTACTCCGCGATTATGTCGTAGTGGCCATGGGTAGCAGTGAGCACGCCAATGGTACGGTCGTGATGACGATCGACGATAATCACAGCGCTTGTCATGGGGGCATTGAAGCAACGTCGAGTCCTGTGCGGCGACCGTCGGTGGCTTAGGTAGCCCTAAATGGGCGACGCCCGTCCGTCGGGATAAGGAGTGTCTCTGGATAGGTTCCGATCAAACCCGTATGCGTTTCGCTGCGAGGTTCTTGACCCTTGGAATGTACGGTCTTGCATATTGTCCGTCAACGCCGTACGCTGACCCTTGACGCCCGTCAAACACTCGCAGGTGTTAGCATCCCGTGGTCATTGCCAGAATGTTGCCTTCGGCTTGTGAGGTAATTCAACATTTCCCGCACAATGTGAGTCGCTCTTGGAATCTCAGGCTCTTTTATCTTTGCAATGATGCAGCACCTTCCCATCCTTCTAATTGTGCTTACCATAACTGATTGACGTGTGTCGCTTGCAAACTTAGACTGACGGGTGCATTCTGTGGTGTCTGAAAGTGTGACAGAGGCTTACTCTCAAGCTTGAAGAGATAGTGTTCGCAGAAATTTTGAATGGTGGGTCGATCTACTGCTCGACAATATCACATATACTACATCCTCGACCTTTTAGATCAGACTCCGTTTCTCTATTGTAACTAACGGAACGCGTGAGTCGGTCGCAATATACCAATTGTGACGCGCGTGACAGGCTGTGAGTCTTCCTGCATGATTGTTCAAAGCACCAATGTTATGTCTGATACACAAAACACACAAATAGGTCGTACAGATACGTTTCTTATAGCTCAGTCGCTATGTATTTCTTCCCGGACCTGAGTTATTCCGAATCTACGTCGCTATCACCTTCGCGGAGCCTGGGAGCCTCGCGCCCTTGACAAGGTGGACAATGTCCTTGATATACATCTAAAACGAGAGCTTGCTGGGGCATCATCCTGTGCTTGCCATGTCAGCAAGAAAGAACACTGAGAGAAAAGCCAAAGCCTACACATCGGTACATTCGCTTCCACAGAGGTGTGGGATAGGCTTGTGGTACTTGCTCAACCTGCAATTCGGTTTGCTGCAGTCCACCTAGGGAGCGTGAGTGGACGCTTCTGACAGAAATTTGGGACTCACATTATGCCTTCGCACAGGGTATTGATGAGCACAGCCGCTATACTCGACATGTTCGATGAGGTGGTAGCACATTGTATACGGGGTGGTGAGCAGAGCGAATGCGAGGAGGTAAGAGTACATTGTGACTGAAGTTCTCGACGTATAAAAGGCATCCAGGAACAGGTCACCCTCGGGGTTGTGGCGGAAAGCGGCGGAGTACGGACGCCGAAAGAGACTTGACCAATATCGCCGACATCTGTTCGTATGGAGTCGATCACAGTGCTCCGCGCCTTCGCACACGATGCTCTTTATCAAGAGCAATGTGGTAGATCCACGGCAGGAGCTTAACAGGACGCATTGTTAAATGAAACATTTGCGAGGGGGGCGGACCGAAGGTTCGAACCTGAGTGGAGAGTGACCGATGGTCATTAGCCCATACAGTCATAAGCTGTCGATAGTCACAGAAGTTTCCAGTCCGACAACTAACCTTGTAAAAGCATATCCAATTGTAGACCCGCCGGTATAACTTCGCAATTGGTCGAGGTATAACATTGAATTTGAATGTCACTAAGGCAGAGTACCATCGTATCTCTAGCTTCTAACGCGGTAATGAGTCCGCTGACTGTCGCGCGTGTTTTAAGCCACCATGATCTGGTGCAGTCGGGCAATCGATGCATGCATCTACCATTCGCCTCCGCTATCTATATGAATATCGCTTCACGGGGACGTACGGGTAAGGTACACTTTCTGCAGCCTGTCGAATTAACGCCATAGAATGTCAGCTACGACACATAAGCTGTATCGTGGGACATCATGAACTTGGCTCATAGTTATGCAAAATTTAGAATGTCAGTCACCTGGACGCACAGCGTGTCTCGTCCCAGGAACAGGAGGAGTCTTGAAAATTTATGCAGAGGCTTGAATGGAAAACAACGCTTCCTTCCGATTCGGTGTCCCTAGAATTAGAGGGCCGGCGGCCTTGTGTGTTACAACGAGACTAAAGAGTCGTGCAGCGTGTACCGGGTGTGTGGGTTAGACGACAAAAGCCTTATCAACGATCGGTTAGCGCTGACATCAATTGGAAAAATGTGGCTGACGGCTCACCAGAACAACTCAAGCCAGCAAGCGATGTGCCGAAAACAACAAAAAAATAAAGCGTAGGAATGAAGTTCGACACCCACGCTCCGAACAGGCTGCAAGCATCTGCTCCAGGGAACCCATTCTTGATAGATCTGCGGTGACAAACCAGGATGCGTTGCCTGATACCACTGAATAGAGATGTTCTCACTTTCGATGCTAGTAAAAGCTGGTCCGATGCCTTGAAGTTGGCTGGGGACTCCGACACATCAAGCGTCAATCGAGTTTGACGTAATTCTATTCCGAAGCTAGAATTGGAGAGGATGGCAGACACATGCACATCGCAAGCCACGAAACATTTTCATTACTCTAAAGATAAATCACCATCTTCGTCATCATCGAGAGGAATAAATCTTTTTGATTCGGTTCGCTACAATAGTATCAGTAACCTCTAGTGGTTCAATGACAACCACCACTCACTGCTATCGGAGTTGCAAGTTGAGCTCTTCTATCTCTGATACTCATCGGTTTGCTACTCGTGGGAAGCGGGCCGTCGTTGACCTTATTCATGTGGGGGGTATATGTCTTAGGAAAAGAGGTGGTTGATAAATCATCTATCATAGGCGAAGACCGAATGGGGGTGTGAAATCGGTAGTCATGAATGCCTGTGGGTGAATATATGCCAGACATAACTCGAGACATTAAATCCGACGGGTTACATCGAGGTGCTGCAGGAATTGGGATGGAAGGACTAGCAGTTGCACTGGTAATTGAAGAGTGAAGGGAATTACGTGAGCAAGTCTGAGCCACGATGGCCATACGCGAATCGACAGTAGGACCACTCAGGCCAGAGGAAAACCGTTCTTGAGCGGAAGAGCGCTGCGACAGGGTACTAGACGAGGATGCCAGCGAGCTCACTTTCTGAGGCATCTCCGTAGCCGGAGCAGAATTACCAAGAGCAGGACGAACAGGAGCACGAGAGAGGGTGGTACTAACAGCTCCAGGTGGACGAGATGCCGGCCGAAGAGGAGTCTTGAATCTGTGGTCAGCTGCAGCATGAGAAACAGGAGTTCTAAGCAGGCGAGAGGAGTGCGGTAACGAGTCGGTTCCGGTAGATTTGTTGGGTGGAAGAATATCGGTAAGAGGGATACGGGCAGGACTTTGAAGAGTCACAGCGCTTGTGGGTGTCTTCCCGCACAGATTGACTGGAGATACCCGAGATTTGGCAGGCCTAGGGGTTGTGAGAAGTAGAGAGGTCTTACTATAGACCTGCGCTAGATCACTCGGACGAGCAGCAACCGATCCGATATGTTCTTGAATGGAAACACAATCCAGACCGCGGTCCTCGGCGTGGAGTTTGCGTTTCTTCCTACTTCCGTGTGGGCCAGGCGATAAATTAGCAGATACGGCCTCAACTCCGATAGGATGAGTTGTGCATTGGTCGGCTACTATATGTTCCTGCTTGCGTGTAAGAGCGTTTTGGAGAGCTACGATAGGTCGAGAGAATATCTCGCTTTCCCGTATGGTATCCTTCACTGCATTGCGAGCATTCTCAATATGTAGAGGCATTGTCTGCAAAAGAGGAAGCATCGCAACAACATTTTCGAGTAGCTTGACCTGCTGATCCTGAAGGGCTTGTAAAGTCTGGGATTGTGTCTGATTGAGCTAGACAAAATCGACATTCAATACCTGATTTCACAATACACAAAATTCAGACCGTATGCAAGGTATCCATTTTCTTGTCTAATGTCTCGAGTTTGCGTTCCACAGAAATTATGTCTTTCCTTAGTCCTTCAACTCTCGAATCTTGAGCTGGGCTCCCCAATGATCGCTGGACCTCAACTTGGCATCTATTCACTGATCGGCTTATGTAGCAGTCTAGTATGACGGCTGCATATATGCGTTGAATTACACACCCAAATTTACCATGGTTTCCACGAGATTTTCTCGATCTTGTTGAAATAATGTCTGAACCGTTACAATCTCTCGCCGTGATTCATCCACTCCACCAGTGAGCTTGCTTACACGGTCGGAAAACTTCTCTAGATTTGCTTGTGTGTCGTGTAATAAAATCCGCAAGGATGTTCCTGCTTTATCAGTGGGCGCAATAGGTGGAAGGTTGGGAGAAGAGCGGTCTGCAGAGCGCGCAATAGATGATGCGGCGCTGTCAGAAAGCAGGTGGCCCCAGAGCACAGATGATCCCGGCTTGCGTGCTTGCAGCCGGCGAACCTGAGTGGGTGAGTTTGAATTGGCGGGCATATTGTTCGAGTCGGAGCCGTCAATTCAAATATTTCCAAATCTGGTTTAGGTTGAACGGTCAGCGGAGGATGAGTAGCGGGAGTAAGAGTCAAGAGAAGAAAATTACCGCCACCTTGACCGCCACAGACGCGATGAGGGTGAATTCAATCTCCGCTACGCGTCTCTATGGCATCCGAGTCCACCACCGCGACGGCGCAGCCGGCGAGCAAGCGTTGGTCGTACTTTCATTCGGCATTACAGCTCGCCATCCAAAGATCTTCTCATAAATGGACGTGAGTGCACTTGTAGCACCGTTCAACGTTTGGAACTCACGACTTCATCGGCCAGCTATGAGGATTTCACGGAATGCTTCTCGGCATGGTGTGAGGAACAACCAGAAAACGCGTCTCGCATTTTTACAACTGTTTCGAGGCATATGGAAGATCAGATTACCGTGAGTCTTGCTTTACCAAGGGGGCACTTATGGTCGTAAATGTTTGATAGGAACACTGCGAAGAGCTACTGCGGCAGTTTAACGTCCGCGAGAACTTGGATAATTTACACACGGTCGTGACTGAAGCTAGAGCGCGTAGGCAGAAAGGATATGAAGGCAAGGATGTTTGGAAGGAAGATCTGAACCCTGGTGCTGCTGTGCGGGCACGGACCGTGCCACTCCTAGAGAAAGAGAGAGATCGGTTACGTGCCGAACTCGGTCAGGTGGGTCTTCGTCCTAGAAAACGCGAAAGTACTACTATATCTCGGGAGGTAGCTGGAGAATGAAAACATCAAGCTGCAAAGTGAAATGCAAAGCAACGTCAGAGGGAGAGAAGAAGCCGATGCGGAGACATCGAGACTACTCGATCTCCTGGACGAGGTAAATAACCCCACCTGATAACGAAGCAGTACACACTCATTATGATAACAGATCTATGCCAAGTGGAATCATATTCCGATAGAGGAGATTCAATCATGGACGTTGCAAACTGCAGAGTCTGTCACCAGCAGCAGACCTGTGTGATACCATCACCGGTCTAGTCCGTCAACTTGTACGTAGTTGTCTCATGAGACATCCTCTTTCCGTGAGTCGGGTTCGTTCGAAGATACTTGCTAGATGTACAACGAGTGCTCATCTTCTAGAGGGACTCAGATAGTTTGTGTCACCTGCGTTCTTGTGCGACCACTTACTCCTCAGCATGCCAGTGTATAAGAATTCACGGCTTCTGAACATGCAATTATAGGATCCCTGCTAGCTTGTACACATGATCATTATATGGTGGCCACAATACATTGAATCAATCCATTCATAGATATGGCTAGTCTATGTTTGCATTCCAGTAGGAAGAAATCCCACCTTCTTCCAGGTGCTCATCCACTTGTCGACATCACTACAGCTTAACTGCGGGGTGTTGGAATCCATGAGAACTGATGATGCATGCTGTCCCCTTTGTGATTCGACTGAAGGCAAAAGTCCCTTACTCTCCATGTGATGACTATATGAGCCTGCGTTCTGACTTCCCTTCCGGAAGAAATCTAGCAGCCTGAGTGCTGCCCTCTCTTCGGCTTCGCGCTCGCGATTACCCGAAGATTTGTTGGCAGGAGTAGTAATAGCGAGGTTCTCCAATCGCGCGAACCATTCATGGTATGGTACCACTGGAACGTCAAACTTCAATGTCAAGGGCTCCATAATGGTGACCCATTTTACCGGTCGTGGATGAACGATGTGCAATGTGCCGTTCGCGATGTTGTACACATCCACGATGGCGGTCGCAGCAAGCGGTGTTGTCAGCCATGATATATTCTACATGAATGACTTGAGAAGACGCTCTGGATGTTAGTTTTATTGCTCACCTCGTTGCCATCAGGTAGACATCCGACATACGTTGCCGACTGGACAAGGGCCGGGAACCAGTGTTGAATGTCCCATGACCCACTCGCACTACCCGTCAGCAATCCCACTCGAATGACATTAACCTTCAGGCGCGTTGTCTCGGCAGCAAGCTGTACCAATCTTTCCGCTATCCACTTAGATTCGAGGCAGCCGGTTTGTGTCGCAATCTTGGCGTTCAGGATGGGCAATTCGGGTGTTGGAATAACCACTGGATCTATACAAAGCCTTAGCGTTCTGAGCATCGTGAACGGTGAGTGTGCTACCTTGGTATACTCCGATAGTACTTTCGAACGACAATACTTCGAATCGTGATGAGCGTAAGGCCAAATCAATGAGTCCTCGGGTTCCCTAAATCAAGCCTTCAAAGTGTTTCAATTGCGCATAAAAGTCCAGTTTCCATGCTTAGGATGGACATCAGTCAACTTCGCTAGAGGGAAATGCATCACCTACCGTTATGAATAATATGGGCTATGGAAGATGACAGCTATCATCGGAGTAAGTGTAATGACTTCTACGATAGAGCGAAGTATGAACATTTGTCATGGTCAGATCATCCAGCCCTAGATCGTCGGCTTCTAAGTCGCCTTCCAATAGCGTCAGCTTAGGAGATTCGAGTATATCGGTGAGAAGTCCTTGGTTCAAGAGGGCATCCATCTGCCTCCGAAGTAACGTCGATCCCGGGTCATGGGCTCGTCTGTTCAGGGCATATACTTGCTTGACGTCATTTCGGTCAAGTAACTCTACCAGTAGATGACATCCCAGTCCACCGGTACTCCCGGTCAGGAGGACCACATGGGCGTCAGGAGCAACCTCTTGCACACGTGGCGTTTCATGCAGGCGAACTAAATACTTCTCCAGCAGCTCTCGCATCTCATCTTCCTTGCTTGTTGCTTTGAACAATTCCTCAGCAGCGCTTAACGCTGAGTCACCACCCGAAGCTGCCAGCCTACGTCAGAGGTCATTCAACGAGACATCAGCAAGAAGCTGAAGCTGCGAAATCTCCAGAATGGGTCTTAGCGCATAGGATAACCTCGCAGCGGATAGCGAATCGATGCCGTATGTGGTCAGCGGGGCGTCTGGAGATAAATCACTAGCAGACACATTGAGAACATCTCTGACTGTGTCGGCCAACTGGTCCACGTCATCCCTAGCAGAAACATCTTGAGCGACTTGTACAGGAACGAGATGTCTGCCCATCGGTGGCATGCCAAGAGTTTTGTCCACTGATTCCCAATCCAGGTCCGGAACATAGTGGTGGAACTTCTGCCCATTCTGGAATCGGAATATAGCATCCTCGAGCCAGAGAATCATTTCTAACCCAGCATTCGGAAGGAAAAACAATCAAAATCAGTACTTAGATCGACCTTCCGCTGAAATTGACCACTCTAAGAAATGGCTGAAAAGAGATGCTTGTACATTAGATTGTCCGACGAGCAACATGGAAGAGTCCAAGATGCCCGGGCATACGAACGAAAAGGCATTCGGGATCAGGGAAATCGCCTCTTCCAGAGCAGTATTCGCACTAAATCGTGTGAGTCAAGAATAGTGTACAGACGCTTGTCACTTACGCGCCATAGTTGGTCTGACCGCCAGCCCCGAAGAGTCCAGATACTGACGAGAATGCCACCAAGAAGTCGATACTGGGAATGTCAACCACCTCTTGAAGAACGGAGAGCACGCCAAGTTTTGCAGCAAATACACGGGAATAGTCCTCCCTGGTAAGATTCTGAAATGCGCGATCCGAAAGCACAGCAGTCAAGATCATGCATCCTCCCAGTGGAGCAGGAAGACTGTGCATGAGGTCCCGCATTTCAACAGTAGATGTAGCATCTACTGCACACACCCGAAGTTCAAGGTCTTGAATGCTTCGAAGATGCTCAAATATACGCCTCGCTAGGACGTCACCATTGGTGAACAAACCATCCTCTCCGCGACGAGATGTAACGATGATATGACGAGCGCCTCTCTATCAAAACACAATTTGGTTAATCACGAATGATGGGCGATCCCACATGACTGACCTAGTACATGAGCAATGCGATTCGTGCCCCGAGACTCCCTACTCCTCCGAGAATGATATATGACTTATCCGCGCAGAACACAGCATTACGCTGTAGGGAATGCTCGTTCGTTTCAGAAACAGTGAAGTGAGGGATGGAGGATGTTTCGTCGACGATCTCCGCATATAGAGAATCAGAGGACTCTTCCAAGAAAGAAATTACTAGCTCAAGAGCATCTCTGATAGCCAGAGGATCTCGACGAAGAATACCAGCAAGGCCTATGCTATCGTCGTTCCACGCAAATAACTTTCCTCTCGTCGGATGTAGTAGTGTTTGGATGATCTGGAGGGACCCCTTGTCTTCGTGCCCTGTGATGATCAGGTCGAACCGTTCGCGGCCTAATGCGGCGAGATCGCGCAAGCTAGTGCCTCGAGTGACTTCAGTGAACTCGATCCCCTTGAGTAAGTACAACTTCTTGACTCCCAATCCAATGTGCGTGTCGGAATGGGCAAGGAGCATGGATGTCGATCGGAGACGTTTCAACTGTCGGAATGCACTAATCCCTGACGCAAGAACCGCCACGACGAAGCCAGGTAGAAGGGCGGAAAGAAAAGTGAAACGCTGAGTTAAGCGTGAAGACACTGAAGACACGCCGTCAGCGTCTAGTGTTGCGCGTTGGCCATGAACGTGTTCCGCCAATCCTACCAAGAAATAATTGTGTTGCAAAACCTCGGGACTGTCTTCGACGACAAAACCTACCACTCCCACTACCTTTCCGGCCGAAGTTACTGAAAGCACATCTACGAGTACGCATCCTGGAGGAACACCATTGATGGATTTAGGCATGGTGGAGGAATAGAAGTCGTAGAAGTCGTAGTACGGCAACAGGAGTAAGCGAGGAATAGACAACGCGCCATCGGATGAGACCGTGATTTCCGGTTCCTCTTTCAGATAACCACTTTCAGATAACTGGGAAGATTGGACAGAATCACCTTATCTGCTTCGAACGAGGGCGGAAACATCATCAGAAAGATAGTCCACCCACAGTGGGTATTCGCGACGCAGTGCGCGAGTTAATCCTGCAGCTGAAGTGGAATGACGCCCATGTTTGACGAATATCCAAACATCCGACTCGCAGGCTAGATCCAATTCCCAGAGATCGTATTGTAGGCTGTCCTCGTCTCCGAACCGATATCGACATACCTTACGACCCGGTGAATTAGACAACGGCTAAGATTCGAGGGCTTTGCTACATTTAAGAGTAAGCGACGAGCATCCAGTGTCACGATAGAGAAAAAATAACAGCCAGCCCGACGCGTCGGACTAGCGCTATGAGTAACCTGATCATGTTGGGCATTTAAGCTGCCTGTGCGCTGTGTGCGCGATTGATTAGAAGAGGGTCCCACCCATCTTGATTCCACGTCCTCAATGCAAGGAAGCCATTCGGACGGAGAAGGTCTACACAGCGCGAGAGCATTGCATCCGCGTCGGGCTCCCCAAGTCCAATAGGATGCGATACAATGATGATATCAAACGACTCGACCTCCTTTGTGAAATCGGAGCCCACCCAGTCTTTCAAACACCCTTGCAAAAATATCAGGTAAGAGAAACTCTACTCAGTGCTGCGTCAGATACAAATGAATCAGCTACCTGGAAGAGCATAAAGTGACAGGATCGTGCTCTGCGATTCATTCATAGAGCTTGGCAATGACTGCCACTGAGACTCCGGCTTGAAGGAGCGTTGTCGGAGGACTAAAGGTTGGACAATCTATGCCCCGGTGCTTGTTCGGGAAGGGCGACGAAGGGCAAGAAGTGTCTGCTAGAGTGGGGGATGCTGTAAAAAGTCTGGAGGCAAGGCAACAAATGAGATATGAGCACCCACGGACCCGGATATCTATACTGGTAGCAGGCAAGGAAGGCTATCAAATAGACCTTATTCCAGCTGTCTTCCGTCGCCCATGGCGATATTTCAGAGGATACCAGACCTATAGTTTGCTGGTCTGATCATCACTCGCTGTGTTCATCACAGCCAGAAGGATATTGCAAGAGTTTAATGGTCGACGTTCGTGCGAAGGTTTTCATTTATATACAGCATGCGCTGGCCGAATGGCCCGGTGTCCAGGACATCATGCGGCCATCCCAGTGTGTCGAAGAGAATAGACATGACTGGCCTCAGTGCCGCACTACTGTACCATTTTCAATTGGCCGTTCTTATGTAGCCGAACGGCAGTTTTGTCTCATTCAAATCTAGAGAGCAGTCCTCAACCACGACTTGCACGCATATATTCGTGCTCGAATGTGGACACAAGACTGCTCATAAATTCGAACTAATGATAATCCCCTCGTCTCCGTCAGACTTCGAGGGGCTTGGAAGAACGCTGCGTGGTCGTCCTGCTACCGTCGTCGTCGCACTCAATTGCCTGGGAGATATATACCGTCGTAGGCTGCACAGTAACTGATGGATTGAGAATCTTGGATGTGAATGGTGCAGCTGCGAACGTAGAGATGGCCTGTGGCGCCTTCTGCTCCCAGCCCATCCCCACGCGAACGTTGATGAGCATGAATGAAATTCCGGAGACGATGCAGATCGTCTCGTTGGGCAGAAATTGCAGGTTCGAGCCGGCCTCGTAGGTGACCAGGAAGAAGATCGCCCAGACCCTATGGGACATTAGCCAAGTACTCAGAACAGAGTAGGCTGCAGTTGAACGTACGTGTATATCGCAGAACTTTCAACGATGATGGCGAGCACAGACTAGATGGTGTGTATCTCTCAGCCATGAGACACGTTGATAGATGTTGCTATTCACCATGAGATTATTATTCCTGTGTCCTTCGATTTGAGTACTGATGCGCCTGATGCGCCAGATGCGCCAGGCAATCATGGCTACATAGATATTTTGTACGTGCTCAGAATACTGTTATCGAATTTTAGGAGCGAACCCACTGGTGCAGTACAGGTTCGTGCTGTGATACTAACATCAACGGTGGTTTGCGAAACGAAACGCAATGACTCACCAGAGAGTAAACACCGCATCGCTAGTCAGCCAACGATCCAGGTCTGTGATAAATATATTCTGGCCCATATGGAATCGAGTCTCTTGATATAAAACGGCGATCCCGCACACTAGGCGGAAGGTGAGTCGACAGATCGTCTACTATTCCATTTTGAACGTACCCAACAAGCCCATGAAGGTGCACAGAGGGATTATGACGACATGCTTGCTGTAGCCCCATATGATCCACATGCGGTATATCTAGTATGCCAGACAAGCTTAATCCATCATGTTGTAGTTGGGATAGCATCAAGACCGACCATCATCGCATCGGTCGCTAGTAATGTGAATATGAGCGCGCCGCTCAGGACCACTTCCGATAGCTGGGCGATATCTGCATAGAAGAGCAGAGGACCCTGTGGATAGGTAACGAATGCCATGAATATGCGTATCACAACGAGAATCCAATGCTATGCGAAGCGAGTCAGTCATCTCTACGCGGAAAAAGTCTGTATAGCTCACAATTGTAGTAGATAGGAATATTGCAACATTGGCAACGATGAAGGTCATGGTCGGTGTCCATGGCTGACTACTACTAAGCCGCCCGCCGAGCTCCCAATAACGCTTGACGAGCAAGTACAAAGAGACCGTGGAGAGGACAAAAAATATGCCATAGAAGAAGCTTTCGATGCATACTGTAGCGATATTGACGGGAACTAGTGCTACTTGGCCCATTGCGAGTCTCTGAGGGGAGCAGTAGTCGAAATGCTAGAGCAGTGAATGACTTGAGAACGAGTGATTGATCGGAACAGAGTAGGGAGTAGATACGTTCTGCGAACCTGCGCCATGACACGAGCATTTATATTGATCCATCCCATCAACGCATAGTTCTGCGCGCTCCTTTGACGTGCCCCAGGGACTGACAGATAGCTGCAGATGGCACCCAAATCAATTTCGAGTCGCTCCCATGGTGAGTTTCGGGTGCCGGTCCTTTCATAGCATCATGGCTCGACAAGCTGATCCCAACTGCCTTTTTTTTCGATTCCCTTTTATTGTCCGCAAGGGCCCAACTGCCTTGCCAGACTTCCTCCCACGGTCTCTCACGAATGCGAACAGTGTGACGAGTATGGGAGCCTGCCGCCGCTGTGAGGCAAGTGTGAGGAGTCTTGCGACATATGTACACGCATGCCAAGAGAGCAAGACTCTGCCTGGTTGGTGATATGAATCCGGTTGTCTTCAGTATCTGATGCAACTTGAAAACGCGGTGGACTTGGACGTTTGACATCGTGTGTCTATAAGCTAAGCGCCGAGCACTGTACATGGGCGCTTGATCATTTGTACTTAAAAATGCGGAAGATATCACGCAGAATGCAAGCACCACGCAATTGGAAGCCCCATCCAGAGGACTGGCGCTGTGGCCTCCCATACCGGGACAGATAGTCACTCGAATAGCGCCGCATGCTGCAGCAAACCCCTCGCTCGGAAGGTACATAGTGGGTGAGGAACAATGATTATCTGTCAACGGGGTCAATGTATCAACACATACTCCCGAATGATAGAGGTGTAAGAATAAGACTAGTCGCAAAATTAAACAGCACGGAGACGCACCAAAAGACGGAGATGGTCCCATCGCTACAGACTATATCCCCAGATCCATTGCGTTCACAAGGCTGAGTACGAAGCGAATGACTCATTCAATGGCGACGACCTGAAGGTGGTGGAACCATCTGTATAAGAAGGCGATGAGAATAAAGGGTAAGTTTGTCTGCTCCTGACAAGATTGCATACGTACGAAAGATAGCTTCCTCAATGCTACCAATGCACCCGGGCATTCCAGCCATGATGTTGCGCGATAGATGTTGTGTTGAACATGTGGTGCCAACTATTTCAATCCTTGATACCTACCCATGTTTTAGATCGGTCTCGTTCCCAGTCCATGTCATCTTCAACACGAGCTGATGATTGATGACAAGACCACTCAATTAGAGCTCGAGTCGTTCGGATGAAGTTGTGACTGGACTAGCGGAGCCGGGCCTCACGCGCTCCTTAGAAGTTATAAACTCGCCTACATAAAGCAGACGTACCTGAGGGCCAACACTTAAATCGAATAAACAAATGAAAAATATGAATACTGGCGCTGGAATTTCTGATGGCGGGACTGACTCTCTGCCAATCTATCCTCCTCCTCCCATGGATGTTTAGGTGATACTGAAATGATTCCACGGCCAACCTGCTTATTTCGCACACTTGTAGTCTCTCTGAGACTCGCCCGGCCACGTTTTTAGCCGGCCGCGGGTGTTCCCGCGGTCGGCCAACAAGTCGATTCGAGGTTTGCGGGGCTACAGTAAGTACTTATCGATAATATAGATTCTCCAGACTCGGCAGAAAAACTTTTATATCAAATCCGGAGAGCCAAATACACTATTTTCAGGTCCTAATATTATTTAACCGGAGAATGGAGAGGCCTGAGACAGGCGCCCACAAGTTCTATTTGCCTCTACGAGTTTTGGCGCGGATGGCCAGGTACGAGAACACGCTGATAGATGAGCGCTGAGTGTATGCACCCCAAAAAATTAGTCTCGTACTACCCAAACGCGTGTACGCGACCACAAAAATTTAGCTAGAAGCCTTTGAGGTAGCTTGCCTCGTCAGCGACCTTAAAATCTCGCACCTGCTCTACCTCGACTGTCTTCATGATATGGATAGTAGTCGACCCAGGCTCAGCACTGAAGTCCGAGCCTCCACCGGGACGATGATCCTGGAAGTTCTA